CATTAATGGGGCGAAGAAGAGGATACAGCTTAAAATCAGTCACATATATCTGAAGTCTACTTGCAACGTGTTCCTGTTTATCCTGAACTTTCCAGGTGGATCTTCCTTTCCTGCAAGATTTGATGTTCCTTTAACTAGCATTTTATTCTTGCTAGTCAACAAGTGACTCCTTTCCAGAGAAAGAAGCCCTTGACCACCAAAAAGGCTGGTATGCTGTTTAGCCATAAAAATCTTCAAAAGCTATATTTTCAGTGAAAAACAGCTCAAGGGAGAGAGAGAAACTAGATGCCTTAATGTGATGTTAGAAGCAAATACATGAATACTAGGAAAGGAGCACTGACCAAATTTATCAGGTTTAAATAGTCCCAAGAGATGAAATCCACTGCCCGGACTTCTAATAATGTTGCTTAAATGAACTTCATTCTAACTGGGAGGGCGAGAGAGGGCCCCTCACCCATTGCTTTCGGCAGAATGCTTTTCTCCTCCTTGGAGGTGATTGAAAACTGAAATATGCTGACTCATAGTATGTCAGCAGCTCTCATCGTTTGCCAGGAACTGCCTGTTCCCTCGTGTATTCTGTACAGGAAATCGTTATAAAATGTTACATTACAGTGCTCTCTCCTTGAGGTCCTTCCCATAGAGATTGTATTTTGCTGCAATGTAATTGAGAATGGCTCGCGTTTGCACCAGCTTCATCCCATCAATTTCCACCATGGGCACTTGCTGAAAAAGCAGCCATCCATCTGGTAAATGGAAAAGGACATATTAATGTAAGGGTTCTCCCCAGTTATCAGCATGGCAGAGGATCTGGAGATCCACTTTATAAAGCATGCTTGGAATTTCAATATTTTCCCCTATACCTCTGAGAAGATGTCACTGTATATTTCTTAGATCAAAAGTCTTATGAGACAGTTTTGCTGAATATTACATGCACACACAAGCATGGGGTAATGTTATGCTCACCATTTTTTAACTTTTGTAGATCTTCTTTTGATTCAATATATTGTTCTTCAAACTGGTAAACAGAAAAGGCAAAAGATTTCACAGACTTCCAAAATGATTGCAGTGCCCAATTCATCCCCACTTACATAGTCCCCGGAAGAGATATGTAAGAAAAGGAACTCCCTGTTCCAAGAGGAAGTTGGATAGCTGGATTTACTGAGCTCAGCTGTGACCTAGCACATTTTATGAACCCAGTCATTGTCATTTATAAACCATGGTGTAGCTTTTTGTGACAACCCAGCTAATGTTAATGTTATGGAAATTAATCACTTAATCCATTTTAGGAATTGGAAAAATTACATGGATTTCCATAATGTCACCATCGTCATGCTTGTGGATTATTTGCCCATTACAGTTTTGTGCCTGAGAACTAAGGTGTAAAATAGTTTATGTCTGAATTCACCAACTGTTGTTCCTCCATCACATTAATGCATAATATTTAAGTCTGGACAATTTATTTTGACAATTAAGTGAGAAAAATCCCACAAGTGGCTCTTCTTGAGAGGAAAAATGCAATTTGTTTTTCTAAATGTATTTATGATCTATTTTTCCTCCCCCCCCCCATTTTTGGGGGAGGGGCAGCATACATGGTTTTCCATTTTATCCTCATAAATGCCTTATAACACTGACAGGCTGAGAGACCAAATCTGGACTTTATGTTATTTTCTGACAGTTCCTCACATTAAATCACCAATGTTTCGTGGCCCTTTCCTGACAAGTCATTTGCCTGTGGCAGCTGTTTTACTAATAAGCTGTTTTCATATTCATAACTTAATAGTAGGGCAGCCCATAATGTTGGGGTGTTACAAATGTAGATGTGTTTGTTTAAAATGATGATGTTCATCTTCAAACTTGAGAGAAACAAATTATCCACACTGGCAGAAATAGATTCTTACACAAACGTTATTAAGTAAGAGATGTTTTGAGGACCAACCTCAACCCCAGCTGCAGCCAGCAGCCACTTTATGGTTTCCATTCGCCCTCTTCCATTGAAGTAGTGAAGCTTCGGTTTTCCAGCCATGGTTCTAGTAACTTGTTTTCCTGTTATATTAAATAGATAAATATAATTATTCTAGATCTAGATCTAGACACAGATATCTCCAGACAGAGCAATATAACATTTTACAATGCTCCTTTGTTCACTGGTTTTAGCAAACAATTTTATAGCAACTTTTTTTTTAAAAAATCCATATTATCTTGAATAGGAGTGTGTGTGTGTGTATGTGTACAACTTGCCTTTGTAGAAGCAAGAGAATAGCATTTTCCTCCATCTCACCCATTAGTCAGATGGATGATCTTTTCACTAAAACTCTGCCACCTGCAAAACTCCAGTTTAAGACAAATCCAGCATAGCTGCTTGAGAAGCATTCTCTTTCTAAGATTTCAAATTCTGATCCATTCTTCATTTTTTTTCATCTGCTCCACTGGGAACAACTGGTTATCTTTTGGACTAATGACAAGTAAGTATTAACATTAACAAATATATGTTTATTCTGAAGGAAATCCTTCTGAGTTCAATGTCCCTACTTCATAGATAAGCAGGTATGGGATTGCAACATATATTTATTAGTGCAATTCTACTAAAAGGGTTAATGGAATAATAGTTCATTCATCTCAATTGAAAAACATGTTGGTTTCAGAAATTCATAAACCCACGACAGCTTGTATTTCTAACAAAGCTCTCCTTCTACTCATAATTCTGCCCTTTCCTCCAACTCTTCCTTTGGGCTTTCAGAGAAGAATCTTACAATAATTTCTGTCCTTGTTTATTAGTCACCACTACGTAAAGTTTTGCCAATCAATAAGCAAGGAGAAGACAAACTTTAAGATTAGAGAATTGCACCTACCACCACTTTCTTCTCAAGTTCCTACCTTTGAATACTGACCTGCTGAAACGTCTCGGTAAGTGCAAGTTCTTCTTAAGCAAGATGTATTCCATGCACCTTCAATATATAAAGCTCCAAAGCTCCACCTTCTGACAGAAGAGAGAGAAGGAGCAGCCCAGATGGAGGAGGAACCCCACTGGTGGCAAATAGAAGAATTTCTATGCCTTTCCCCCAACAGAACAGCTGACTTTCAAGTTAATCCATACTGGGAAAAGTTGGCCCTCATGTGAGTCTGATGCAGCTTGGTTCAGCGATGGTCTGGGCAGGTGTGTTAAAGGCACAAGCACTCATGTAGTTTTTTGTGTTGTGTTGTTTTGTTTTGTTTGGTGTAATCTCCCCTAAACATCCTTGAATCAGTAGGGAGGTAAATGGAGAAAAGCTCACTACACAAAAGGATCCTTTGGTTGGGGAGGGGCAGTTTGGTGAATAGTTTCCTTAATTAAATGGTAGTGGTGTACAGGTAGTCCCTGGGTTAAGAGCACCCAGTTTAAGGATGACCCATAGTTAAGAACAGAGCCTTCGTTCTTCGAGTTAAATACACAATGGTTCGAGTTCATTACACAACACTACTTATACAGTGTTATACAATAATACTGTTCCGGCTTACATACAAATTTGACTTAAGGACAGACCTTGGGAACGGAACTCATACATGAACAGCAGGTTAGGGCTTTGTTCCATGCCTCAGATGGCCTGCTTGACTCACCAACCACAATAAAGCATTTGTCAGAGCAGACTCCTAACTTGACCAAAATGCCATGGGGTAGGTCCTAGGTTGGTTGGCCTTTTGTAGGGGTGGGCAAGCTCTCAGAAACCTGACAATGCCCCTTTTCTTTTTACTTTTCTTTTCAAAGTTTGCCAATAGACACCTCAGATGGGAAAATGTCAAATATGAGAGAGAATCAATGGAAGGGCATCGTACAAAAGATCTATCAATGGAAACCACATGTCCCCAAAGACCTACCTATGAAAAGGCAAGCAACTGGTGCTTTCTTTCCCAGCATGGGGTGGAGGAGTAAAGAAGAAGGGGAATCCAGCAATCTGGGGCTGTGGCAAGTACAGTCCAGACATAACATCAGGCTATCACTGTAGCTGAAGCAGAGAAAGGGGTTGAAATTCTGAATGGGATTTCTTGAGCTCTCTTCACTCCTAGCTACTTTATGCATAGGAGTCAAGCAACTTAAGATTGCAGAGTGGAAAAGCTCTTCATTGGATAGTGTGGGAAATTAAAATGGCAGCTTATCCAGCTACCCAGCCCTGTATAGAATATTGGAAGGGCTCCATGCAAATATTTCAGTGGGCTGGCAGGCATCCAAGAATGCCTACTAGTGATACCAGTCTGCCATGTGTATCCAACAACCCCCAAAGTCTTGGATTCATTAGTTACAACCAAATAGATTTGAATTACAGATGCTAAATGCAATTAACTCAACTTTATAGTGGAATTTGGTTTGTGAAACACTCATTTTTAGCTAATAATGAATGATAATCTATACCTCATACTTATCAGATTTAAGATCAAGACTAATTTTCTCTGATTTTAGAAACAGTAACTCTGAACAGTCATGATCTTTGTTTTAAGAGTGGAAAGGTAGGATATAAACTTTTCAAAACTATGATGGATAACCTGTGGCTCTCCACAGATGAATATAGCTGCCATTCAACTCTATTATTTATGTCAACTGGGGCAGATGAGATTTGAAATCGAATAACAACTTTACAGACACTCACACCCACACTTATCTACAGGAAGCGGATTCTAGCTGAAGGTCTGAAAAACTTACTAAAAGTAAGAGCAGTTCAACATCAAAATCACTTCCCCTTTGGTAGGTATGTTTATGCAGAGATTGCATATCCATCTGTCAAAAAGCCTTTAACTCCAGAGTCCACTGGAGTTGAGTGGCCATAAAGTTAAACAAACAAATAAATAATTTGAATTCTAGCATTGAATTCAATGGCTCCTTCCAGTTCTATGATTCTATGTATGTAAGCAAGATACATGAATGAATGAATGAATGAATGAATGAATGAATGAATGAATGAAATTTTCCAGAAGAAAGAAAAAACTTCTTTATGTCAAATGTATGAATGCAAGAACTTAAAACACTTTAATGATTTGCACCAAAGAGTAAATCATTTATTGCTTTTGATCCCATCAGATAATCATTTGCTTTTAGGAAACAAAAAATAGGATTTTGAATTGTCCCCTAAATGAGATGAAGGCAAGGTCCATGCATTTAGCACACCAGACAGCAGTGTGCCATGATAAACAACTGTGGGGGTGCTCTGTGGCCAAACATCATTGCATAGAAACCAAGGTGGGAGATGTACTACCACTTGAGGTTAAATAACAATAGGAACCCTTTGAGATAGCTTGTAACGGTTGGGCTGTGTTCCTTGCTGCATGATGGAAATCTTGTTGGCTTATGCTGGGTCTTTCTATTGCCCGGAGATATTTGATATTCTGGCAAGCAGACATGATGTTATGCTAAGTCCATCTTAAAAACCTTCAGCACTGTGGCTACATAAGCATCATCAGGAGGTGGTTTCCTTTGGCTTCCAGGTTCTAGGAATTTCTTAATGGTGGGGATAGAGCTTATTCTTGCTTTGAAAGCCTAAAGCAATAAATAAACAATATTTACTATTATTATTTATTGTTATTATTATAACTATAAGTAATTATTATATTACTGTTGAACTTATAACCCGCACATTCCCAGCCAAGACAGCTTGTAGTGGTTGACAATATAAATCAACAACATTGATAAAATCCAGCCATCATAAAACACCGTAAAACTTCAGAACACAATAGAGATCTGTAAATAAAATAATGTCCCAAAAAAACTTCAAATATAAATATATCAAAGATATACCCCTGTTTATATCTATGAAACACAAATTCCTGGACAAGAAGGTTTGAGTCTTTTCTTTAAACAAACTAGGGAAGGAGAAATCTGAATTTCTTATGAGGAAGGAATTCCATACAGCTGGTGCCACCACAGAGAACCACCCTAAGCAGTTCCGACCCAGCCTCCCTCCAGCATCTGTAATAAGCCCTTTAAAATAATTGGACGTTTCTGTTTGTGACATATGGGAGAAACCCCTCTTCCATATAAGTGAGTTCAGGGATTTATAGATCAAAATAAGCAGCTTGAATGTAATCCAGACATCTACACGTAGCCAGGGCAACTTTGCCAAACAGTCTCCCATGCTCCCATATGGAAACAGCTGACAAAAGCTTGGCCATCACATTCTGGACCCACTATAATTTTCAAGTTTCTTTCAAAGGCATCACCACTTAGTGTGTGTTACAATGGTCAGAGCATGGGTAATAGTGTCAGGTTGGATAAATCAACAGTTGATAGATTAGTTATTCATCTGCAGATGAAAGAAAGGTATTCCTTGCCACCATGCTGACCTACATACTCAAGGACAGCACAGGGTCCAAGAACAATGCTCAGGTTGCCTAACTGCTCCTTCAAAGGAAAAGAAACCCCACGTATTGAAGTAAGGTCCCATCTCTCTGGATTAAGTCTCCCCCACCTATCAATTACGCTGTAGTGCTTGGATTCAGCCACTCATCCAGTCTGTAATCCAGCCCCAACAGACACCCACCAGACAGCCCAGCACACCTGATTAAGAGGGAAAGGAGAAGCAGAGCTGAATGGCATCTATATGTAGATGGCGCCCAGATCCATAACTCTGATGATCATTCCCTACTGCTTCATACAGATATAAAAAAGCCCGGAGGGGAGAATAAGAATTTGTGCCACTCTGAAGTCAAGAGCCGCAAAGTGGAACATACTTCCCCAAGAATGCCATCTAAAACCTGCCCCTGAGATAAGAGAGGAGCCATGATTTAGCTGTGGTCCCAACTTCCAACTTCCCAAGGTGATTCAGAAGGATTCCATGGTAAATGGTATCAAAAGGTGCCAAAGATCCAGGAACTTAAGCAGAGAAATATTAACGTTGTGCTCCCTTAACAGATTGTCAGAGCAACCGGTTACCATCTCATGAGATGCTCCAGACTAAAATGGATCCAGAATATCAGTTGCATCCAGAAGCACTTGGAGCTGCTCAGCCACTATCCATTCCACCACCTTGACCAGAAATAGCAAATTTGAAATTGCCCTGTGGCTAATAAAAAGGGAGGGATCTAGCAATGATTTCTTCAACAGGGAGTAGAACTGCCTCCTTCAAAGTAGGATGCCACTATTCTTTGGTTGAGGAAGGCATTAAAGAAGCATAATTTACCAGCCTCAAAAATCTGTTCCAGCCAGTATTAGTCACAAGGGAGCTGTATTTAAAAGACATGTGATGACCCAAGCTTGTTCAAGCACTTTGTTCACATCTTCAAGCTGCACAGGGGAAAACCAAGGCATATACATTAAGCCCTTTCCTGCTATCTTCCCCACAACATTGTGAATCTGCTTATCTCAGAAAAGATTCATAAACCCTTCACAGATGGGTCAAGGAGGCCTTCCCAGCCTTCCTGGCACAAGCTCCTGAACCACTCAAAAAGTTCCCTCCTGTGAACAAAATAGAGGCAAAGAAAAAGCATTGCTGGACTTCAGTTCCTATGATCTCCAACTAATGGCTTAAGTAGCAGCGTAAGTCAGAACTAGCACGTTCATTTATATTGTGCAAGTAAACATTGGCCTGATAGGCATGACTAGATTACCTGTAGTTGAGGGAATGGTGCAAGAACATCAGCTTTTTTCTCTTCCAACATTAAAATTGCTTCAAGCAACTGTATATCTGCCCAGCTGAAGTGATTGCCAACCAGGAACTCTTGCCTATGCTGTTTCAGAGCCTATAAAATACAAAAACACCATGGCTGAGTCAAAACATACATTAAGTAAACTCTGCCAAAAGGCTTTTGGACATTAACTACTCTCTTCGGATGATATATGCCTTACAGCCTACTAGAAGCATCCTATGGTTGTTCAATAGGAACCAAAGGGAATACTCTCTCTATACAGTAAACATGTATGTACACATATCAAATGCTAAAACTGAAATAATAATAATTGGAAGCAAAGAAGACAGAACATTTAAATGCTGGGGAGAAATAAAAATCAGTTAGGAAAGCAATTAAGGCCTGGGTGTTATAAAAAATGAAGAGGAAATATAACACAATTGTAAACTGTTCACATAAGGCTGATAATCAGAAACAGTCTTGTATTTCCCAAAGCCTAACTAATCTATTCTCTTCGGAAAACAGACAATATAATATGATTCCAGTTTCTTGTATTGTTCCAGTTCAAGGAGGAATACAAGAAACTATAGGTCATTTAATTTAACAAGTAAAATGATAGAAAGTTTTGCTTAATTGAGCAATATTCTGAGGTCACAAGTCTGTCCCATAAATTAGAAAATTACTTGGTAGTTAAATCCATTTCCCTAATTACTCAGTATAGCCAACTAGTTTTCATCAGTTAATGCATTGTTTACAAGTATTGTGCTTGAAGAAACAATGAATTCCAGTCTATCTGGGCATTCTTGGCTAATTTCCCAGTCCTGAAGTGCATTGTTGTGCATACCAAAATATTTGGAGTGTGTCATAAGTTGCCACAGGAACATTTTTGGATGGTGACAAGGACAAGAGCAGACCAAGCATTGTTTGGAGTGTTTTATCCAGTTACAGCATCAGAGGAGAACACCATCCTGTCCTACCTTAGGCTGGGATCACACAGTACATGGTTTACAAGCCATTTGGTTGTTTCAAATAACATGCAAAGCTAAATCCAAGCAAAATACATTACTGCTTGGGATCTTGTGTGGATGGGCCTAAATTTCAAAGGCAGAAAGACAAAAATATCTAAAAATGTGCCTTCTGTGTATGCTCTGAAGCCAATGCCATTCATCTGAATGAAGGGGTAGCTGCTAGAAGAAAGGTAACTGTTGCCCTACCTTTTCATAGACTGGGAAGTACCTGGTTGTGGCCTTTTCAATAAGTGTAGCAAGCTGCTTCTCCTTTTCCTCAGGTGGAGAAAAAGGATACAGCAAAATAATAGCCATCAGGTCCATGGTTCCTTCCACGTACATGTCAATTCTGTGGAGGTAGATGGGAGAAATGTTACATAAAAAAAAAGCCACATTTTAACAAATTAAATTTAACTTAGCTGACATCATGACACAAATACTGTTATTTACATGCTTGTGTCACGCATTGAGACTCTCAAATACATAACGGCAAGATTTGTGTCACAATGTCACTGGCCATGTTGTCATTTCAAAATCATCTTGGCTTGCTGCAGAAATCTTGTCTTGGCTATAGCAACTGATCCCCAGCTTCAAGAGTTGCATGTAAAATGCCTATTCTTCTAAGAAGGACCACTGCCTGGGGCCACCTTCTGCAACACTGCAGTTCCTAAATGTGCAATAGCTCTTTTTCTCCTTGGAGACTGGAAAAACACACACATTGTCCTCTGACCAAAGCTAATTCATGGCAAGATGGCAGGCTGTGCACTGAGTGACACCTTAGTCTTTGTGAGTGTGAACTCAAATGTGCACTAAAGAAAAAATTTCTTCTTTTGCCCTCACTCATGGATTTCATTGTTGAAGAGCCTAGAGATGGAGGATAACTCCTCTAGCAACAGGGACTAAAGAAGAAATTTCAGAAGAGATCCCCAACAGGAAGAGCAACTGACCAAGAACAGGAAAGAGAGTCTGCATCTATCAAACAGAACCACTCTCTGCAAGTACCTGGTCCCTTCAAGAGGTGTCGGCTAGCTCATGCTGGCTTAGGATGATGGGCACTGTAACCCACTTTACCTAGAACTTGGAGATAGCTCTATTGGCCTGCATACCTATATGCTTCCCTGATTCTCCTTCTCTATTCCCACGGAATAACACAAGAACTATGACCTACTGTATGACTATCATATAAAAGGGGGAAGAGCTCTGCCAGCACGAAAACTAGGCATGAGAATGCCAGTCATGCTTTCACAAAGTTGTGTGCTCCCAGCCCTTTAAAATATTGCCTAATTGCAGAGTGCATGTCACATGATCTATGCTATGGTACGGTGTTTCCCAACTGGGACATTTTCCAGAATCCCAGAAGTATCATCTTCTGCTCCCAGATTTCCCAAGCCGGCATAGTCATTGCTCCCAAAATGCTACTAACAAAGGAATTAACTGCGGAGAGGGAGTTCTACCTCCTTTCACACTTCTTTCATTGGTTCGCAGCTGCAAAACCAGACCGTTCCAGTTCCACCTTGACTTGGTTGCTTGTTTGGTTGTGCCCAGAGCTGGTCTCGTTTACCTATGGCCTTATTTCTACACAAAATACCTGAGTCATTGATTGTCAGCAAAGCAGGCAGGATCAGACAGGCAAGGCCAATATTGATACTGGCAATCAGACAAAAAAGGAGTATGTTCAGAACAAGTTATGAATGTGATTGTGCAACTTGCTTGTACCAAAAAAAGAGGAAAATGTGCATTGTATTCTGAAAGGAAAGATAGAAGTGCTGTAATGCTGATATAATAATATTACAGATGATCTAAAACTGATCTTGATCTTTCTTTTGTTAGTCAGGCCACTGGTTAGTAGTCCAGAATAGTAAATTGCTTTTTCACCATTGAAGCTAATCGGCTAAGACACTCTCTTTTGAAAAGCTAGGCATCTCTGTAAGAGGTCAGAGGTAATGGCATCTTTCCCACAAAGAGATTTTTTTTTTTTTTAAGTTAGTAGCTCCAATGGATAGAAGCAGAGGGCCAAATTGTGCAAGAAGTCAAATGTGACATTTTTTTTGAAAAAAAGAATGCTGTACAAATGGCTTGAGGTAGAAAGCCAAATTACACACCATGTTAAACTTGGCACTTAACTTGCAGATTTTTCAAAATGCCACTTTCATTGGGGGGAGGGGAAGGTGTCCATGAAATCTGAGATTGGAGTCCACATGAGATTTAACCCTATGCTTGGATTCACTGGCTGGTACATCAGTTATGGCCCTACCTGGATCTGGAGGACTTTGCAATGGTAACTCATCATTTTCTGACTAGACAACTGCAATTCATTGTACATGGGGTTGCCCTGAAAATCACACAGAAACTGTAGCTTGTACAAAAGGCCACGGTCTAATTGTTGGCCAATGCTAGTCACCAAAAGTATATTATCCCTCCATTGGCTGCCAATAGGTTTCCAAATGCAATTCAAGGTGCTCGTTTAACTTATGATACCCTTTATGACTTGGAGCCCATATAGCATACCTGAGTTAGCCCAGCTGGTACATTCTTCCCAGAAGAAGCTTCTGCTAATACCAGGAAGTGCTGTTTCTCACCTGTGGCTCTGGCCTTGTAGACTAACTCCCCCTTGGAACTAGGACTCATATCATCCCTCTTAATGTCCCAGAAGCTGCTTAAGATGGAACCTTTCTGTAGAGCTTTGGGTGACTAGTTAATTGTTGTTTTAATTCCAATTTAACTGTTGCCTTCTATTTTTGTCTTGTATTTTGGCTGTGTGATTTATTTAGTTGTTGTTGTTGTTGTTGTTGTTATTATTATTATTATTCTGTATTGTTTACCATTTGGATTTAAATGGTGTTTATTATGGACATTTAATTGGCTGTATGTTTCATTGAGTCTTTTTAAATTTGGCACACACAAATAGAATAAATAAAATCATAAATAAAGAAATTTATGGCTGTATGTTTCATTGAGTCTTTTTAAATTTGGCACACACAAATAGAATAAATAAAATCATAAATAAAGAAATTTATGGCTGTATGTTTCATTGAGTCTTTTTAAATTTGGCACACACAAATAGAATAAATAAAATCATAAATAAAGAAATTTATGGCTGTATGTTTCATTGAGTCTTTTTAAATTTGGCACACACAAATAGAATAAATAAAATCATAAATAAAGAAATTTATGGCTGTATGTTTCATTGAGTCTTTTTAAATTTGGCACACACAAATAGAATAAATAAAATCATAAATAAAGAAATTTATGGCTGTATGTTTCATTGAGTCTTTTTAAATTTGGCACACACAAATAGAATAAATAAAATCATAAATAAAGAAATGTATATAATTAATTTTAAATAAATAAAAAGATTTCTAGTGGAATGCCCTAATCCTGGAAGGCCCCTTAGGGATAAGTGTGGGAGCTACACAAATTATTTTTCTGGAAATTACTGCCGTTCATAGAGAGCCTAGTAGCTTCTGATGTGCAAAGGTGTCTTTGTAAGGAGGGGGGAGGCTGTGTGTTGGGGGAGTGGGGGTTGGACAACAAATACTACAAAGAGACTATAAGCCTTCAATTCTCTCTGTCAATAAAGCCAATAATGCTGCTCTCTTTAACTTCTCACAACTAGATGCAAAAATCAGGCGCATGTGCCAGTAGAAAGTTAATGGATAACATAGGACTGGCAAA